ATAGATTAAAATATTTGTGTAGAAATATTAGGGTATAGAAATATTAGGGTAACCTCACACGTGTCGCACGCGTGTACGTGCGTGTCGCACACGTGCAGGAAGGGAACCGGGTAGAACTGAATTGGAACCGGCGGTTCTTCTCTAAAACCGGGCGGTTCTCGATTTTATATCGAAATCGACACGGGCTGTACCGGTTCCCGAATCGAGTCCGGTTCAACTCGCCGATTTTTAAAACATTGTTTCCAAGTATCCAAATGACCCACTCTTCATATAAATTTTTCCTTTCTTTCTAACTGGTCCACGTATGTAGGCATGTTGTTATGCGCACGTACTCTCTCAATGCATTTATGTGACCAACCGTGATGGATCTCCATTGTAAAAAATGAAAATAACTGGGATATTTTTGTAGGATAGGTAATTTTTTATTAATGAAAACAGCACCTCATGTTGCCTTCCTTTTCTTTTGTACCCATAGCAATGAGGGCCTTAAAAATACATTCTCATATCTCCTAAATGCCCTCATTGGCTCCGCTCTGCCAAGGAATTTTTATCTGGAGCTAGTGATTGGTATCCTCTAGTCTAGTTAAAACCAATGCTGACGGGAAAGGGGTTGATTCTGGTGGTAGCACCCCCATATTTTAGTTATTACATTGTGACTTTCATTTATATTTTAGTTATTACATTGTGACTTTCATTTCTACTGACACCATCTCACCAATACTTTTAAAAACTAACTCTTAAATTATTTCAAAAAACGGATAAGGACATGTAATCCCCATTAAATTACCCCCCCAAAAAAAAAACCAGTGTTGGCGTTGCACATGTTGGTGGGATAGGTTGGACAAGATTAAAATAATAATAATATGTGCGATAGTCACTACAAAAAACCACGATTTGGGGAGAAAATTTTGCCCAAGGCCGGGCCGGGTCGAGTCCTATTAATTTGGCCTGAGTCGGCCAGGTTCAGACAGAGAGAGAGAAAGAAAGACAGGGGCCACTGCACAAGGCCCTGCTTTGACAGAGAAAGTCCTACCCAAAGAGAGAGGAAGGGGGAGAGAGAAGGGCAGGGCGAGAGAGAGAGAAGGGTAGAGAGGGAGGAAGGGAAAGAGGAGGGGCCTTGCCGAGAGAGAGAAAAGAGATTGAGGGTTTGAGATGAGAGATGAGAGATGACATTGAGACTTATGGATAATGGGGCTCTCCTTTTTTTTTTCAAGCTACTTCACCGTGTATTGATAAATTGCCTAAGTAGGAAGCTTACTAGGGTAGGCCAGGTAGGGGATCTAACCCCCTAGGGGTTGGACCCTTAGACTCAGGGCTTATCCATTGGGTGAGCTCGAGCAACCCAAGCGAGTCTGAATCAACTCTTTCCAGCACTAGTGATAATTTTAAAATATGAATTATAATAAAAAAAGAAAAAATTTATACAAGATTGCAGTTTTATTTGTAGAAATAAGGTCGCACTAATTTATACTATTCATTATATTTGGATAATGTAAATTTACCAAGTGTCTTAAAAATAAACAACATAGAATATTTGTACTATCCAACTAAAATAAACAGTGTAATCTAAAGTCAAAATTGATAATAGTAAAAAAAAAAGTCAAAAGTAGTGTTTGGTTGGTTTTGACAAATCGGACTGGCCAAACAAAATTGGCCAATACGTTTTTCAATATATTACATATTTTAAAGTATTAATCTTATTTTTTATAGTTTAAATTTTACTCAACCAGTTCGTCCCCTGGACAGATTGGTTTTAACTAGACAAGTCCCCTTGCCAAATCCAATCCAAAAGAATCCATTTGATCGTCCAATCATGCGAAACTGGTCATCAGACAAAACAAACTCATTTTCGACCGAAACTAATTGTTTTAGGAAAAATTACTAAAACCCCTTTTGACTCAATTTTCCATATATCCTCCTTCAATTATTTTTTAATCACAATTTTTATCTCAAAACTAACTTTTATAGTAAAGACCCAACCTTTGTTGGACCCAATCATATTCTAGTCAGGCGTTGAATCACCAAAGACGGTCTGATACATATTCTTGTCAAACCGCCATTGCAAACTATTGGACCGCTCTAAAAAAATGCTAGACTGCAACTAGGAACTGTCGGACCGTATCACCAAATTGCTAAGCCGAATAGTGCATCCAAAAAAAACATTGTCATACCGCTCTAAAAAAGTGCTATACCGCAATTAAGAACTTTCGGACCGCATTACCAAACCGCTAGAATGGAGAGTGCATCCAAAAAAAACACTACCAGACCGTTTTAAAAAAGTGTCCCACCACACCAAAGAATTGTCGGACCGCAACCAAAACATTGTTGGACAACCTATTATTTGCAGGACCGATAGAGAGAGAGAGGCGTGGACCTTATTGAAAAAAAAAAAAAGGTATTTTGGTCTTGAGTTGGGCTCACATTTTGACTTAGGGTAAACGCTATACAAAACGGTACCGGGGTTTAGTAAATGATCTAAAAGATTGTTGAGGGAGGTTATCTAAGAAGTTACAACTTGGGGGTATATGTAATTCTCTGACCAAACTAACCAAAGTGGCATACCTATGCTCCCAAGTCCTTGTCTTACTGCAAAAACACCTCCTCATATATATTCCCCTAATTTTAAGTGAAATACAGAGAGTGAGAGAGAACCAACACCATAAGAGAGTTACAGAGCAACCAAATGCCATAAGTGAGGGAGAGATTCTCCTGAAAATGGAGAAATCGGGTGAAAAAGGGCTAGCCATATCGGAGTGGTCTAACCAAAATTGCCAAATCACAGTCGACCCCTGGTTCGATGACTCCTCCATTCTCGACATCGACTACTTCGTCAAGACAATCGCCACCGTCAAATCCAAGGATGTGCGGCCCGATCTCGTCGGCTCCATCATCACGCACTACGCCTCCAAATGGCTCCCCGAGCTTTCCGGCGAGAAACTCGCAGGAAAGAACACTGGAAAATCAGAGAACTTCGGCTCCTCCCAAATTAAGAAGAGATTTTTTGTGGAAACTTTGGCTTCAATTTTGCCTCAAGAAAAGGACTCTGTTCCCTGCGGCTTTGTTTTCCGGCTCCTCCGTACCGCAATGGCAGTCGGCGCCGAGCCCAGCTGCAGAGTGGAGCTCGAGCAACGAGCCGGCTCGCTCCTCGAGCATGCCACTCTACACGACTTGATGATTCCTGCGTTCTCTCATACCAGTCGTACTCTTCTTGATTTACAGGTAGTGTCTTTTGTACTGATAAAGGGCATTTCCTTTTATACTCTGCCGAGTCCGAGTAACTGTAGCAGTCCGCATTGGACACTTCAATTTTTTTCCGGGGATTAATGTCCCTGGTGTTTCTTTTCTAGTTTTCAAAATCCATCTCAAACGTATGCATAAATGCATCTTGTCCGCTCAAATTCAAATCTTATCTAGTAATTGGACTCAGTAAGAGATATATGTACTCTCTCTCATGTGAGGCTCTTCACTCTGAATATTCAGGTGGTTCTTAGGGTTTTGACAAAGTTTTTGTCCTCGGAAGAGGGCGGCGCCACCATCGTGAAAGTGGCGAAATTGATCGACTGCTACTTGGCGGAGGCGGCGCTCGACGGAAACCTAACGGTGATGGAGTTCGAGGGGCTCGCCGCAGCGCTCCCATCGCATGCCAGGGCGTGTGAAGATGGGCTATACAGAGCCATAGACACTTACCTCAAAGTAAGGTTTCTTCCTCTTTTCATAATACTATGCACGTTATGTTGATTGTTTAGTAGCATACACGAGAAGCCCATCTGCCGTCCACTTTCAAAACAGGTGGAGATCACCCGTTCTGCACCGATTTCATATTCGTGGGGCGGTTCATCTCAACCGTCGGTTTTGTAAGATGGTGGATGGCCTTTGTACACAAGCACCTGTATTGTACTCGTTTTCGATTGGTGGATGTTTTACTGGTTCATATATGTTTCGGGTTTGGACCGAAATTTCGGAAGTAGACGTTTGTGGCATTGCCCTATGGAAAAATGGTAGCAATTTCAGCGGAAAGTTTCGTTTCGGCTGATTTCGATAAAAACTTCGTACGGGGGCAAAATTGGATAATTTGAAATTTTGTCCAGGCAGGGCAAAGTTGGATGATTGGGTTTAGGCGTAGGCCGGGCAATGGGCTGGGTGGACGAAACTTGCCCAACTGGATATGCCTAGCCCTAAAAAAAGTAGGGCTTAGGCCAGGCTAGGGTTTATGCGGATCCGGTTTGGCCTAGTTTCGAGGCTTTTTTTTTTTATCCTTTAGTTATTTTTCATTGAAATAACAAACAGGGCCATAGCCGGCGTTACGATGGGGACAAAGGCCAAGCTTGGCCTTGGCCCAATTGGTTGCCACCTTTAGTTTAGAATGCAATTATTTGTTCTTTGGGAAAAGTTTATATAGGGCCGAGGCTTTCTCTAAACAATCAAATTCAAGCCTACCTCAAAATTTTTACTAAAAAAAGGTGTTTTGATGCCTAAATGTCCTCAAATTCATCATCTCAACATCCAGATGCATGGACATAAGAAAAAAATGGATTTCAAATTTTCGAAATAGTGTATTATATAATGCACTTTTAGATAGTCAATTTTCAAGATTTTAAATTTTTCATAGATCTCTCGACCTACATTATTTTTTAAGCTTTAAATTTTATAAATAAAGATGACAATAAATTTTAAGATTATCAAAAAGATTTCTAATATTAAAACTACATTTCTCGAAACTATTTAAAGGTAGATTCTAATTTGATTGTTTAGAGCCTAGGCTCTATACAAACCGCACCCTTGTTCTTTTCTTGGGTGCATTAGGCCGAGTCTTTTGTTTTCAGGCAAAGTACATAACGTGTCAAAAAGACCAAATCACAATCTCATCTCTTATACGTTCCCCTCGATACCTCCTGATAAGACAGGAGATATTGAGCACACAAAAATTATCACCATTCAACCTTAAAAAAAACAGGAAAAAGCTTATATAAAAGGTATCAACTTTATATTGTACGGGTTACGTGAAGGTTATTCCTACGCTGAAAAACTCTCAAATTAATTATCTCGACCTCGTAGATATGAAAAAAAAAAAGGAAGTTTTAGTCTTAAAAATAGTTCATCTCTTAATACATTATTTAGACCGTTTATTTTCAAAATTTTCAAGTGTGTATAGATCTATTTGATCATCACAATTTCTAGAATTTAAAATTTCATTATTGGAAGTAACAATAGATTTTCATATCATCGTAAGGCTTTGTAGCACCGAAACAGTATTTTCGGCGTAGTTTTGAGCCATATCTTACTTCAATAGTATTAGGTTGACAACTTATACAAACCTCACCCTAAAAACAAATCTCCCTGCTCTTTATATTTCACAAAATAAGGTAAGGACGTCGTTAGAATGCGAGCCAAGCCTGCATATGTAGAAATACAAGCCTCTTAATAAATTTATTTTCGAGATGGATTTTTGGACTTAATTTTTAAAAATATGTAATCTCTAAAATAGAGATCAGGAATATTGAAATGTAAATAAATTTTAAAAACTAAAAATAATAATTTTATTAAAAAAACATTTGGACCGTCAATTTCAATTGTTTTTAGATGAACCACATAAAATGAATGCTTTATACCTATGGACTGCATATGTAGAAATGCAATCCGGCCCGCATAAAGCAATTTTCCTTAAGATAAACCATTTAATGTTAGTACGGGAATGTGACAACTATCCTTGGCCGTTAACTGTAAGATTGGGTGGTTAGGAATAATGTCCTAGACCATGCTCAAAGCTTAAGAAATGTCTTTCAATTTTTGTGATAGACCTTGAAGATCTTATGGCTTTAAGTGATTGTGAACATCTTGTTCTAAACGATTTTAAAATATACAATCTTTTATATATATATATATCATCGGTTACTCTACAATTTTATGCCATGCACATATACCTGCTTCATACTCCATAAAAGTGTACCTAATTCCCATGAGATGTTTGTATTCACCAATCTCTCCAATGTTTTAGTAAGATATTGGTATATGAGAATATCCATATCACCGTACCTGAGATATCATCATTCACAAATATTAT